TGTAAAAATTACTAAATGGACTGATGGAACATAATAAACCATGCTCCCAATTTTTGAGAATTATTTAATTGAGAGGGGCATGTTAATATCCAATTTAACAGTTTGATTTCCCATTTCATAAAAAGGGAGCTTTATCTATGTAAAGTAATTACATATTGGCCTCTGGGTTTTGAGGTAGCATGTTAGCAACCTTAACAAAGTCTGTTCAAACATTACAAACATTTGGACTGTAGTACTTAACAGTAGATAAATATTCCGTCCCAACTCACATTATACATCTTGTTATTACCAATAATATTATGTAGAAGTAGAGAAATTTTTAGAGCTATATGACTCGGTGTTCTCCCCAAAAAACTTCAACTGGGTGCAAGTCTGAAAAAATTGGCGCTCCCGATAGCCAGGTGGCTGCTAACTTCACTCATTTTTCAAATCAGAAGTGCAAGGTGCCAACTGGGGAACCTTTGGTTTCAAGTAGGGGGGCCCCTGGTAAAAGTGACATGGGGAGATCACTGTGACTGTCAAAAACTAATACGTCAAGTCAACACTTTTTTGACAATAGGTAGCATATATCATATATTAATCCCCATGTATCTGTTAAAAGACAGGGAGGCAATGCCATTCATGTAAGTAATTGTCTGACACGCAGTGAAGTTCTTTGTCCAATGTCATCCCCTCCCTGTACTCTATATTTCCAACCATTAATGTAAACTTTTCAATGATTAGCTCTGGTGATAAAACTTATGCAGCTAGGTGGGGGAGGGGGGGGGGGGGCAGGGGCTTTGATGAATTGCCTTTCACTTTAGTACAGTCAGTACCAAATTAAACAATGGATTAACATATAAAATGTCATCACTTGCCATTTGTTACAGAGGCTGACTGCCAACCTCCAAACGCCATCCACAAAAAAGTTGGAGACTATAACAACAAGTCCCCATTTCTGGTTGTGACATAATAAATGGACCATATATATCAATCCTCCTCAAATTACGTACTTACTCCTCATACCCCTAAGTTTCATGTCAGGAATTTGATGATGATGGGTTTGCTTTAATTTGAAATTTGAAGCCTTGATGGACAAGCAAAATCAATAATCTCTAAGCTTTCATAGCCTAATCCGATCCCGAATCCGATGAGATTTGGCAAATGGAATAATTCAAAGCAATAATTTGAACAATGGTATCATCTTCGTAAATGCACATTTGTAAATCAAATGTTAAAATAGCATATAACAACACTATCTTAGTGATTCAGGAAATAGAATGACTTAAATTATTTGTACATTGCATACTAAACTATGACTCATGATTTGCAATGAGAAATGGACAAAAAATGCTGGTGGTAAAATTCGATGGAAAATGAAGTTGTGTGTTCTCGTCGAATATAGATTATTGTCGCCTCTAGACACGTTCATGAGCAGCCTTTAGCATCAATAACATAAAATTGTGAAAAAGTATGAGAAAACTATACTCACTTGGGTGTTTAAATCCAAAATGTTGTCGACTTTTGTCACATGTACATTTTATTTCTCATTTCTGCGGCCATGTGACCAAGCTGAAAATTTCACTAAGAGTGATGAAGACTCCTTAGCCACTCACTAAACAATATGAAATAAATTAAAATCAAATATATTCAATGAAATAATAGAGTATTGATATCTGTATACTTGCTGGTATATTTTGATTTCTTCTGAGTAATTCTACCTGAGATCAAAGACAGAAAAATGAATGATATGGCGATAATTAGCAAGTAAATTGGATAATACAAAGTTGATGATTGAAGGGTTCTACTTAGTTCAAAACACTTTTGAAAGATGGCAGTCAAATTAAATATTAACAATGAACGAAACACATTTATAATAGATACAAATTCACGGGGATTATCATTGTACTTTGTTTATGAAAGTTGATTGTACTTTGGATTATTGTTATTATTTAATTGTAAGTGGTTTCTAAAAGATATTTTACATTAGTACTTGGTAGGGATGTCACCAGGGGTTGACCATTTAACAGATACAATTGACTAATTCCAAGCAAAACACAAAACTTCTCAGACTTCAAAGAATAAATGACAAATTTTTTTTTTTCATTTATGATTTTATTATATTTTTATGTACAATTTATTACAAATTGATATAATAAGCTGCATGTTTTATTTTACATATTAATCACAATTGAATTTTACAATCAAAGCCAATAGGCGCTAATACAATACAATATCCAGGGCTTAACATTTGATACAATATTTCGATTGCGTTTTTATTGATTTTTCATCTAAAGAACATAGTCTATTTACTTTTAATTAATATTGAACTTTTTTAAATGAAAACAAGACTCCATAATTTGTCCAATAATCAATACGACAGACCTTTCCCACAAACCCTGCACACTTTTAACACAACAAAGAAACCAAAATATATTGATTGGTGAGAATCATGATGTCATAGGTTGTCAAGGGAACAGACAGAATCTCAAAACAGGTGAGGTAAAATAATAAAGGCAAGGCAAATATGGATTAAAAGTAATAAACTGAGGTGTAATAAGACTTCATTTTCAAATTTTCAATTGAAAAAATCTGAAATAATATTTTACGGTAAAAATTTGAAGAGGCAGTTGCCGGCCTCTTGTTTGGCTATGCCTACCCTGCGTGCAGAGTCTAGTTATAAGCTAACAAAGCTCTCTTTTAAGAAGTGAAGTCGAACGAATGGAAAGGGTAGGCTATGCCAAAAGCCCATGGTTATAGCAAAATCAAAATAGGATTATCTTATTGCTAATTTTTCGAAGACTTCTTAGAAATTTGTTTATAAACATTGCTACATACAACCTATTACATTATGAATCTGGCTTATATATCCTAGCTTATTTGGTTTGGCAAAAGATGGCAGGGTTGTATGGAAAGGTCTATTGAATAAATGAGTCGTAACGGCCCTTTTCAAAAAACCAAACTGTCTTTTGCTCATCAAATAAACCAGAATATGCAAAATTCTAAGAAGTATTTCTAAGTAAGCTACATTTCTATTTTTGTTTGTAAATATTGCTACCTTACAACCTATGTCATCAAGAATCTGGCCAATACAGGCCCGTAGCCAGGATTTGCCAAGGGGGGTATAGTTTTCAAAAAATTCCAGGGGGTTCACATTTGGCAATTTTGGCCCAAATATGGCTAAGATCACTTGAGAAGTGCTCAAAATGGTGAAAAACTGAGTGATTTTGAAAGAATTTTTGGCCAGGGGGGGGGGGAGTTCGCCGAACTCTGTGAACCCCCCTGGCTACGGGCCTGCAATATATCTAAATATCTAGATTCATCTGTGGTGTAAAAGGTGTCAGGGAATATTGGAAAGGGCTCCTGAGTCCTGATGAAAGAAGCTACTGCGACAAAATATTATGTTTTATTTTGACCCAGGCCTTTATGCCTACATAATAAAATAATATAAGAAACTGATGTGCCAGCATATAAAAGTGGCAAATACATAATATTGCACATATATTTAATATTGAGATACATAGTTCATACCCCAGTCAAAATAATTCACTCTGATAGGTCAATGAGAGGTATACAATTTACCCAGTCTACCTCTCCAGTATCAGAAATTCTATTTGAACATTTAAAACATTTTATTTCTCTGACATTTGTAAACTATATACCTACACCATTGGAATTACTGTTGACCTTGACATGCAACTAGAAGTCAACAGTAAAGTCATAGAGATTTGGTTTACAGTAAAAGTATACAATTCACACAGTTCACCTCTGATGGAATACAATGTATTCTGTTAATATCTACACTTTTAGACCAAGGGAGGAGAGAATCCAACTTCCAAAATTGACTAGTCTATACGGTTGAGTGTGTTAAAATGGTCTACCTTCGGGATGGTGTCCAATAATCAACAATCGTGAAAAACAAAGTTAAATTCATTAAGGTTCCCCTCATTTAACAAAATTCTTACCCTTTGCATTCGTTTGACTTCACTTCTTAAAAGAGAGCTTCGTCTTCACTCTTTCAAACTAAAATAAACCTGTGAACTCACCGCGCCAATCAGTGTTCATCGGCCAAATTTGACCGACGTTCTATATATGGTCATTCCTTCTGACGTCATCGTTGAGCCCGGAATTGACCAATGACATGCGCATATTTAATTATAGAACGCATTTGGCGTATGTTTCTTCAAGCTCGCTGATTGGTGGAAGAAAGGTCAGCGCGTAGGTCAAAAGTGATTTATTACCCAAACTGTCACCGGTACCCGTCATGGGGGCGGGGCTACTAAACTGTAATATGGTCTCTACTACAGTACTAGGCAGAGTGTAGTTTAACTAGACTCTGCACGCAGGGTACAAAATTCTAAATGGTGATTTGTCTTCCACTTGAATTTTAAAAAATTCTACTCAATTCGCTAACAAAAACCTCATTTACCCCCTCCCCCTGTCCCTAAAGAAACTAACTTTCATATTCCATAACTGTTGATAATTGGACATCATTCCTTATTCTTTAAGAATTGACTTCATTTATTTAATTAGAGGTGACATGATGCAGGCCCGTAGCCAGGGGGGGTTCGATGGGTTCTAGCGAACCCCCCTGGCTAAAAATTCTTTCAAAATGCAGTTTTTCAACATTCTGAGCACATTTTAAGTGATTTAGGTCATTTTTGGACCAAAATTGTCAAAAGTGAAGCCCCCCTGATCAAAAAGAGAACCCTCCCTTGGCAAATCCTGGCTACGGGCCTGCAAAGTAAATCCAAGCAAGTTCAGAATGACAATTGTCATGGTTAGTCAATAGATTGTGACTGTGATAAACCACAGCATTAAAACCTAGCAAGAACCCTGGTTCTATCTCTCTTACTTATTAACAATGGTTCATCTCATATACTGCTGAACTGTACATTCTTCAGTTTAATATAATCAGTGTGATCTAAGAGCATTTCTCGATCCATTCTCATTCAACTCAATATTTCCTCCTTTATCACCTACCAGTCTTGTATCAAGTTGTTTATTTTCATTCTACCCCTGTGAGGAGGTCATATGATTCTAAGTTCTACCCCTGTGAGGAGGTCATGTGATTCAAAGATGTAAATCTTAGAGGAGGTCATAATTCAAATTTTACCCCTGGTGGAAGGTCCTATCATTCTATTCCTTTCAAAGTTTGAACCCTGTGAGGAGAGTATCACCTCATCAACACTGCAATCTTTGCCGTCTTATAGTCTGCCCGCAACTGGACGAAGGAGAGTAACGCAGATTTATCAAGCCCCGCCTGGAAATACAATACAAAAAGTCATATAATTCAAGATTAATTTAATTTCAACTCCAAATGGAATAAAAAGTTCCACGGGGTTCAAGCCACTTATTGAGATATCATCACTCATTTGAGCACAATTTGGATTATTGAAAAATTATTGAAAAATTCAAATGAAAGGTGTTTCAAAACTTTGTTATATGAGGGGAGGGGTGGTGCTGAAACCCCAATGAAATCAACTTAACTTTTCCACAATTACCCAAATGCGTGTAGGTAGTTACCAGTTTCACCACCAGGTGGCTGATTCGGGTCAATTAACATGGCAGGTATATAAGAAAGTTCCCTTAAACTTGAATATTATCAATTCAAGTGGCTCAATTTTCATATAACCCTTATGTGCCTGATACTTATACTAATGAAAAGATGTCCAGTAAAGCAAAATATTATCTGTCCACTAAAAGAAAAGATATTTCATTTTTTGTGATTTTATAGCATGGAGTCTATGGGGAATCTCCCCGAGCTAGAAGTCACCTTTTCAAAGAAAATTAATTTTTCAAAGTTGATAAACACTTTTTAAAACCACATTTCTAGATGTAATTTTACATGTAGATTTCAAATATGATATTACTTTGAATTTTGAATTTTTAATGACGTAAATCAAGATTATTTCTACTCGCATCTGGGTTATTGCCAACATTTTGATATCATCCCAAAATATTAATCTATCTGTCATATGAAGGACAAGTGGCATGGAAGTACAACTGCTAAGTTTTATTTCTACATATGAGATCTATATTGTATTGTATTTTATTGTATTGTACTGTATATTGTATGTAGTACATCCATGCATATTGGTGGTCAAAGCATCTAAATTATAATCTGCACTAAAAAATAGCTGAAATAAAATGAGGGATAAAATTATGAAAATATAGATTTCTATCATACAGATTTGACAGATTGGGAATTGGATTTTCAACATATTATGGAACATAAACTGAAATAAAAACATTAATTAATATAAATTCATGGAAAATAATGTTTACAGAATATGAGATTGAAGAATAAAGACATTCACAAAACATAAGCTTTGCAAAAAATGAAAAAAAAAAGTTTTTACATAATATAAGCTTGGAAAATAAACTTTTTCATCGATTATAAGCTTGGAGAATCAACTTATTCATGGAATATAAGCTTGGAGAATAAACTTATTCATGAAATATAAGCTTGGAGAATAAACTTATTCATGGAATATAAGCTTGGAGAATAAATATATTCATGGAATATATGATTGGAGAATAAACTTATTCATGGAATATAAGCTTGGAGAATAAACTTATTCATGGAATTATAAGCTTGGAGAATAAACTTATTCATGGAATATAAGCTTGGAGAATAAATATATTCATGGAATATATGATTGGAGAATAAACTTATTCATGGAATATAAGCTTGGAGAATAAACTTATTCATGGAATTATAAGCTTGGAGAATAAACGTATTCATGAAATATAAGCTTGGAGAATAAACTTATTCATGGAATACATGCTTGAAGCTGTTGAATAAAAGTTTCATGAAACAGAAGCTCAGAAAATAAACTTATTCATGGAATATAAGCTTTGAGAATAAACATATTCATGGAATAAAAGCTTGGAGAATAAACTTATTCATGGAATATAAGCTTTGAGAATAAATGTATTCATGGAATATAAGCTTGGAGAATAAACATATTCATGAAATATAAGCTTGGACAATTAACTTATTCACTGAATATATGCTTGGAAAATGATCTTATTCATCGAATATAAGCTTGGAGAATAAACATATTCATGGAATATTTCATGAAAAAGGTAAAAACTCATAATTAAAAAATATGAGTGAGAAAACTGATGCGAATAAATGAAAAAAAATTAACAAATAAATGGACTTAATAAAAATGTTATATAATAATAAAAAAATATTGAAGGGAGGGGTAAGCTCATTGATGATATATGGTCATTAATCTTTAAGTAAAACAAAAATAAACACACAAATTAAGCTCCATCGTAGTCTTGCATCAAGTCTCTGTACGCCCCCCACATCTCCAACCGAACCGTAGGGGGAGGTGGGAAGTCACAAGGGCTTAAAGCAAGACTTAAGCTTCATAGAAAAGCATCTTAATAAAATAAAGCTTGAATGGTCAAAATAGTGTTGGGTCAAATCCTGCAGACATGCTTTGTAGAACAACGTTTACGACATCAGCTCCTGTGCAAGTTGCAACCAATGTTTTTCATTACAGGGTGCTCACTAGACTTTTTGAATAAGGTGCGACACCTCAATTTAATTTTATATTTACCTCCCCCAAAAAACAAAGAGAAACTTTATATTTCCTCACTCTTATCTTGAAAATAACACTAAATGCCCATATATGGGAAAATTATGGTACTTTTCCCAATTTTTTAGTAATTCTAATCATCTTTTTGTAATGTTTTTTTTTCTCCGAAAAATCCTGTTGAGCACCCTGTTCTACTTACATATTCACTGGTTTTAGACGACGTGACCCTTGAGATCTCAAGGTCATCGTCATCCGTATCAATGTCATCCCGAGTGTCGTCAGAATTATGTACCGCCTACGAGAGACACAATGAAGAAAGCAACTAGATTCACATGTTACACAAGTAAGAATCCCGTATCACCTCTGAAAGCTTGAAAATCCAAAGGTGAATTCAAAGGCAATTTCAAGAGTAAATATCTAGAAATCACCTCTAAAGGGAACCAGGTATAGAATGGCGATTGATTTTAGAAACTCGTAATTATAACAATGAGTAATTTTTATGTTCTCACCAAAAATATATCATTTCCCATCAAAACAATATACAAGTAAAGTTCCAAGAATATCAATCTGATTCTATGGAAAACCATGAATTAGAACTCCACTGATCTCAAAATGTCTTCCAAAATGTCGGACTTGTTCTCAAAAAAAATCTTATTCTCACTAACTAATATTCTTACAATAACTTATATATAAAATACCTTCCAAGTCCTTATATGGATTTATTTACATTTTTCTTACCACAAAGGACAGTACGGTCGAGAGAAGATCAAAAACTTAAAATGTACTACATAACTTTGAATTGAATCAAATTGATTTAGAGTTGTCTAAAGAAAAAAGAAATGATTATTCCTTTTTTTAGGGCTCTTTTGGTGCATGTTACAGGGTGTTTAAAAAGTACAAAATATTTTTGAAAAAGCAATGACTATTCCTTTTTACGGCTCTTTTAGTGCTTGTTACAGGGTGTTTAAAAAGTACAAAATATTCTTAATAAACTAACTATTTGGTTTAAATACCCACCATATGCTCCCCAGTGCAGACCTGCTTCAAATTGTCAGGAACAACAACCAGTAAATTACATAGCGAGTGCAGCGTATCGAACAGCTGGTTGACCAATGGCACCTGGAACGCTTTCATACATTTCCTGTATTCGTTCACGTCACAGATCGCCAACATTCCTCCTAAAATATTATATTTAAGTTATTTAGCTAAAGTCTAGGTTGTCACCGTGATGGAACTTGGATTTTGAAATCTCTCCATAACAGTTTGAATAAAATGTACAACATTTAAGTTTTATAACAAATTCTAATCAAATTAACTACAGTTTTCAGAAAAGATTGTAGCGTATTTTGAGTTCTGCTATTCATCGAAAGTACCTCATTTTATTACATAAACATTGAATCAGTGCCATCCTCATCAGGAACAACTAATTATTCCATCAACCAAAAGATTCAAGAGAAACCCTGAACTCGTGAAGACTGGGGAATTGTACAAAACAGTCCTACTAAACACTGCAAAAACTTCTTTTCAGACAAAAATAATCATGAATAAAACCTATTACTTAAACTGATATTAGATAGACAAGAATGGTTTGGAAGGTCAATTTTTCTATATATATGTTTTGACTGAGAAATATAAAGATAGATTTGGTCTATTTCTATGAAAAATCTGTTTCTAAATTGCCTTAGAGAATGACCAGATCAGCTTGACCTTGGAGTTTTAACACAGGCCATCAATTTCATCTTCCAAATATGGAAGGCACAAAAATAGAGCTGTCAATCAAAATCTTGAATTGTGTGGAAGAGTTAAAGTTATTTTTAGTTTGACTGATGTGGATGATCTTCATCTTGAATTGTTCTCAGAAACCGAATTGAAGTTATGCAAAAATGCTCAAAATCTAATTTGTAAGCATTTAGAGAATGATTTTTGATAAATGTATACAGGTCATAGTGACCTACTTGTAACATATTTTGAAAAATATTCTCTCAATGACACAAATGGATAATCATCTATAAATTGTAGACATGCAAGAAATGCAAAATTTAAAATAAAATATTCTCATCTTTGAAATTAATTAATATTTAAAATTCTGAAATGAATGCCATATCTATATCAAGATGCGAAAATGGAAAAGATATATTTCAAGATTCTAAAATGGATGTAGGTCAAATAAATGTATACAAAAATCAAATAGTACTATGAAATATGTATACGTAAAAAATTTCTCAGAAACAAAGTTCTGAGATCAATTTGAAAAAAAAATCCTGTGCTAAATGTATGTCACAGAGTTCTCATCATATTCTGATTTTCAGAATTATTGGTTTCAATAAAAAATATTCCGAATTTGGAAATAAATGATATAAAGGTTAGGCCCCCCAAAATGTACCATTCCCCCACAAACTCACCCATGGAGTTGTATAGAAACTGCTGCATGTGCTCATAGATGGCCCGATGTATCCTAACACCCCATTCGCGTAAAACGTTCTCCACGTTCTTGCCGTCTAAACCATCCTTGACGATCTTCAGTTGGGAAGTGATGTACTTAACCACTTTAGCACATGCCTGGAAAATGGAAAATTGATTTTTAAACTAAATGGAAAATCATAAATGACGCTCCAAATTTATGATGAAAATCAACATACAGTATTGGACTTTTTCCTAATGAATCCCTCTATCAAATGGAACTAAAGCCAAATCTTTTCTTTTGTACATAATGTCATCTATGATCCTATGACCCTTATTTAGGAAGTTAGTACAAATACTTCCTCTTGGACACTTATATGAAAATTGAGTTGAACTTTTCAAATGGAGTCTTACAGGAGAGAACATCATCATTTGGGCATCATCCGACACTGGGTTGAAATCTGTTTTCTTTTGTTCAGTTTGAAGTATGTGTCGCACCCAACCTGTCATTGCATTCAACGTCCTGGAACAAAGATTATTACATTCTAGTCATGTGCTATACATGTACGAAGCTCGTAATCTTCAAGAGGGGTCTCCATTTTTCACCGGAGTTAAATTTGTGCTATATCTTCCCAGAGAGTCTAATTTCAAAATATTGACAGAAAATAGGCCAATTATACAAAAAATTCTAAAAATGATAATTTGCATAATTTTTCTGGATGAAATTTTGGGGATACTTAATTAATGTGATACAACTTGCTCCTGCAATATATGAGATGGTTACACTATCACAACTTTCCCAATAATACAATAATGAATGTCAATCTAAATGTAGCTCACACATTCTTTGCATAAATGGTATTGAAAAAATAAGATTGAAATTCTGTGTTCTTAGGAAAATGTTTTCATTTGTAGTTATGAAATTTTAAAATATGTGATTGGTTAAGTCGTATAATATAATATAAATGACGGGTTATGTAATTACCTATCTAATCCTATGTCAAGCTTGTTCTCCATGTGTTCCATCAGGTCTTTCTTCTTCTTGGCACATTCACTGTGGTATTGAGTTAGGCTGTAATACAGACATGATATAGTGTAGTGTAATACTAGAGAGAGGTGTAAGATCAGTACATAACATGGGTCCAACACTGATTGTAAATTATTAATGGTGCTTTTGCAAAATATTGAGACAATTTTTTAGTAGATTTGCATCAGCATAGACACTTGTAAAAGATGGTAATGGAGGAGTGTGTATTGGGGAGGGAGCAATGTGTAGTTAGGGAGGGATCGATGAGTAGTGGGGAGGGAGCATTATGTAGTGAGGAGGGAGAAGTGTGTGGTGGAAGAGGAAGCAGTGTGTAGCTGGGGAGGGAGCAGTTTGTAGTTTGGGAGGTAGCATTATGTAGTGGGGGAGGGAGCAGTGTGTACTCAGGGAGGGACCAGTGTGTAATTAGGGAGGGAGCATTGTGTATCAGGGGACAGTACAGGAGGAGGAGGCATTGTGTAGTCAGGTAGGAAATAGTGTGAAGTGGGGGAGGGAGCAATAATGAGTCAGGGAGGGGAGTGTGTAGTGGGGGAGATAGCAGGTGAGTAATGAGGGAGAAAGCAATGTAAAGTGGGTAAGAAGGGAGCAGTATGTAGTCGTAGCTGGGGAGAGAGCAGTTTGTAGTGGGGGAGCAGTGTATACTGGGGAGGGAGCACTCATGTTGGTAGGGAGGTATGTATGTGACTTACCTGACAAGTGGCACTAGATTATCACTGAACTGTTTCTCAAAGAGGTGGAAGATTGTGTTGGATTGGCCAACCACGTCAAAGAAATAAATCTCAGGCTGCTGTTTGGCATCTGGTAAGGGTATGGCTGAAGTAGAACATTATAATAAAGTAATAGCACATGCATACAATAAACAATAAAATGCTGACGCTGTCTGTCAAACACCAGACTTTTAATGATACATAGACTTCAAAAATATTTTTGCTGGAGTGTTGTTATCAAAATGGCATACAGATATCTCGGGGAATCTCTGAATAAGAGACATTAACAGTAGAAAGCATGTAAATGCAAATTTGAGTGATATAATTTCTTTCAAGTGATTTTGGGCCAAAGTTGTCAAATGTGAACTCCCCTAGAATTTTGGAAAAGTGACCCCCTTGACAAAATCTGACCATGGATCAGAGGGAACATTGGGAAAAAGTTGTCAAATGTGAACCCCCTGGAATTTTTTAAAAAGTAACCCCCCCCCCCTTAGCAAAAGCTGGCTAAGGGCCTGTCTGGGGGAATATTGGGAAAGAGTTGTCAAATGTGAACCCCCTGGAATTTTGGGAAAAGTAACCCCCCCCCACCCTTAGCAAAAGCTGGCTAAGGGCCTGTCTTGGAGAACATTGGGAAGAGTCATAATGATATTCTGAAAGCATGTCCTCATGAAAAATGAATAGAATCACAAGACAAATGAGTAAGATAAGATGACAAAAAACTTGATCAGAACATGGGCTTTCAACTAATTGAAAGCCCATGATCAGAATCATAAAAAAATGTGGTCAGGGGAAATCTGCAGGAATGAGGAAGCTTACTCAAAGATCAGGGTTCGGGAAAGTGCGTTAGATCATAAACTTTTCTTTAATGTTTGCTTATCTTATCATAAACAGAATCAGAGACTATTTGATTTCTGGCATTTTTCATTCAGATCTGATTTTCTACCTGTCTGATAAATTTTTCTTGATGTTGATCTAGTTCGTTAAATTATCCTAGGGTTCATAATATGTATAGTTCTGGTCTCAACTGTATGTAATGTAACTGTCTTATTAGATGGAAATAAATTATACACACATACTATACACTCCAAACATTCCAATTTAAAAGTACCAAACGGAATATGTATCTCTGACAGACTGAAACTAGTCTTGCTTCAAGAAACTGGTCCCCCTCCCCTATCTATGAAATAGGGGGGGGGGGGTTGAAGCAAGACTAGACTCAAAGATATTCATCTGGTCTTAATATTTAATACACAACTTTCCCATCAAATAACGCTTTTCGCGATCAATATTACAATAGCTACATCTCAAGGAAAATCTATTTTGAAATCTACGCCATATTTGAAATTGTTTTGACCTGCCATGTTTATGTTTGTAATTGGGATGTCTTTTTCTAAATCAGTCTTAGGTTTGTTAAATACCTACTTATATTGTGCCCTTAAATCTAGAAGAGGTAAGTAGCAATTTCTAGACTCTGACTAGAATAGATGACCCCAATAGCAGCTGCCATGTCTTTACATGGGGATTTAAATGTTAAATAAATGACAGCCACTTATGAAAGCATAAAATTAGGTAACTGAAAATTCTGAATTGGTAGCAAACTATTGAACAAGGCAAGGGTGAACAATGTCAAACCTAAATATAGCAGTGTGGGCTTGCTGACCCAGAGAGCAAGATGGCTGCCAAAAAGTGAATCAGCTCTCGAACTTCTTACCATGTAACATGTGTAAAAATATTGTAACAAATTTTTACTTTTCAAATTTTCTGTTCTTTGTAGTCCTGTGCCATTTTATCAGTTCGCTTACAGTTAACACATTTAGAAAGTGTTTTCCAGTTTGGTTGATAAGTAGTATACTTACATGAATGTATGTGACACTAAAGGAGTAGGCAGAATCATGTAAACTGTTCGATTTTGTGAGATTTCTTTTTGCTTTCATTTGTTTACATTTTTCTCACCTTACTTTTGAAGAGCTATCTTGACCTACATTCAATTACTCGTTTTTTCGGTCAATTTCGGCATGATAATAACCAATGAAGATTGGTTTATGTTATATTTATTTAGTTTATACATTTATCTAGTTAATTATATACTAAACATGTATTAATGTTACATTAGATAGCACAGCTTATGAGTTCTAAATGAAGCCAGTTATTTTGCACTATTCATATCCTGATTGCATCATAATAATTGTACACCAGTCTTGTCCTGTCCAGGGGCCTAGGTATTGCATCAGCCCATTAATCACTTGATAGGTTCGTGTGCAAAACCTAGTACATGTTATACATGTCGGGGTATAAATAGAGACGACCAGGTGACTCAGGAGGCACTTTCTAGCTGGAACTGAGAGAGGACAGACCTGTGTGCCTCCAGGGATTGACGCTTGATGGACTTAGGCTAATTCTAAGCATATATCTGATGGACTTAGAAGATTTCCATCCCATATATTGAGGGACTTAGATGATTTTACCCTGATGTACTTAGAGGATCTTAGGCAGATTCGACATACCCGTAGAGGGACTTAAAGGATTTTACCCTGGTATACTTAGAGGATCTTAGGCAGATTCGACATACCCGTTGAGGGACTTAGAGGATATTACCCTGGTATATTTAGAGGATCTTAGGAGGATTCGACAAACCCAGTGAGGGTCTTTGAGGATTTTACCCAGAGGTATTTAGAGGATCTTGGATAGATTCAACACACCTGTAGAGACTGAGTGGATTTTTAGGTAGAGGTATACTTAGAGGCATACCTGTAGATGGACTTAGCAGATTCTAGGTTGATGCACTTAGAGGATATTACCTTGAGGGACTTAGCCAATATTCACCAAAGTTGCCTGGAGTTTGATGCCCAGAGGAACTTCGTAGATCTCATACATCCATAAGTTGATGGACTTAGAATATTACCAGCTTGAGGGACTTAGAATATTCATAGCTGGCTAGAGGGACTGTAGATTTCTTACATCTATAACTTGGTGGACTTAGAATATTCGCCAGCTTGAGGGACTTAGAATATTCATAGCTGGCAGAGGGACTTTGTAGATTTCCTACATCTATAACTTGGTGGACTTAGAATATTCGCCAGCTTGAGGACCTTAGAATATTCATCGCTGATTAGAGGAACTTTGTAGATTCCCTACATCTTCAACTTGGTGGACTTAGAATATTCGCCAGCTTGAGGGACTTAGAATATTCACTGCTGGTTAGAGGAATCGTAGATCTCACACATCTATAACTTGATGGACTTAGAATATTCACCAGCTTGAGGGACTTAGAATATTCATCGCTGGCTAGAGGAACTTTGTAGATTTCCTACATCTACAACTTGATGGACTTAGAATATTCGCCAGCTTGAGGGACTTAGAATATTCATCGCTGGCTAGAGGAACTTTGTAGATTTCCTACATCTACAACTTGATGGACTTAGAATATTCGCCAGCTTGAGGGACTTAGAATATTCATCGCTGGCTAGAGGGACTTTGTAGATTTCCTACATCTATAACTTGGTGGACTTAGAATATTCGCCAGCTTGAGGAGCTTAGAATATTCATCGCTGATTAGAGGAACTTTGTAGATTCCCTACATCTTCAACTTGGTGGACTTAGAATATTCGCCAGCTTGAGGGACTTAGAATATTCATCGCTGGCTAGAGGAACTTTGTAGATTTCCTACATCTTCAACTTGATGGACTTAGAATATTTGCCAATTTGAGGGACTTAGAATATTCACTGCTGGTTAGAGGAATCGTAGATCTCACACATCTATAACTTGATGGACTAAGAATATTCACCAGCTTGAGGGACTTAGAATATTCATCGCTGGCTAGAGAAACTTTGTAGATTTCCTACATCTACAACTTGATGGACTTAGAATATTTGCCAACTTGAGGGACTTAGGATAGTCATCACTAGTTAGATGAACTTTATACTTTGGTTGATGGACTTAGGATATCCATTGCTCGTCTGAGGAACTTATTAGAATTTCATGCAACTTCAGTTAGAGGACTTAGGATAAATGTGCATATATGAGGAATACTGTTCAGGACAAGACAATAAACATTTGTGATAGACACTTTACTATAAATATACAAGTAGTTTTACATAAAGGACTTTGATAACAGCATCTTTGAAACTGAAATTTAGTATTAACTATCGATTTATATTGTATTATTTTGAGGCGGAAGAAGCCAGAATATATGTTGTTAATTTTATATTAAATATTGTGTCTCTTTATTCATGCGTACATTTAACGTGTACCAAGTATCCTACGAAGTAACCTGGTCTGATTAATAACAACATCCACACTACCACAAATTAGGCCAGACGTTACAATATGTAGTAATTCTGTTAATTGGTTTTCATGAAATCTCAATGACAAGAAAGTGAGACTCTGCCTTCCCGTCCGCCAGGCAGACAATATCATAACTTTTTTAGATAAGATTAAAAAGGTACTAACCTTGTAATCCAATATCTATGGCGTATAATATATGTTCTATACACATATACTGCACTAGGACCTCAAATATCTGTACGGCATTTTCAGCTAAACTATTCTGAGATGACAACTGAAAATACAAAATAAGCATACAATAAATAAACCTCATATCCAAATAATTTACTACATAGATACAGTAGGGTTACCTCATTGTAGTGTCATAATTTACTTTGGGTGATATTTCTAGATTTTTCATAGAAAAACTATTAGCGCAGTACACTGATGAACTTCTTTTTCCAAATTGAGACTTGTATTTTATAGAATCGGTCTACTGCACATTGCCACTTCTTTGGACAATTGTGATATTCTTACATCTTTTGAATGCCATCTTTTGAATATTCATAATTTGATAAGGGTGATATGTCTACATTTTTCATAAAAAAATTATTAGCCAAGGAGACTGTTTCCCAAACTGAGACTTGTCCTTTGAAAGAATATTTCTTGTTTTTCATAAAATGTAAAATGTTAACATTGCAAAGTCACTAAAGAACAACAAAAACTCTAGTTTGAGAAAAAAGTGCCATATAAAGATTTGAGAAGATTTTTTTTGTATGAGAGATTTCAAAATTCTATAGCTCTTTCGATTTTGGACTATACTGTATCTAATAGAGGTGCCAAGTATTAACCGGTTAACCGGTTAACCGCCGATAATGCCTTAACCGGTCTGTGTTTTTATGGGTGGTTAGTTGACCGTGTATAATTCTGTTATTTCCCGCGCTAATATTGCATGCTCATCTGTTTGGTTTTAAAGTGTCAGTTTCACGTAAGCTACTCATACATGTCGTCATAAGTCCGATAACTCCTTACAAACATCCAATCAGCAACTTTAATCCCTGACACATTGCTTTCCCGAGCTTACTTTGCATGATAATCTGTTTGTTTTTCAAGTGTCAGTTTCATGTGAGCTACTCATACATGTGATAGTTCCGATCACTCCTTACAAACATCCAATCAGCACCTTTAATCCCTGCCACATTGCTTTCCCGCGCTTACTTTGAATGTTAATCTGTTTGTTTTTCAAGTGTCAGCCATGTGTAATCAACTCATATTGCAAAACTATTTCATAAATAAATTATATGCATTTTTTAATTCTTCAGTTTTGTTATTATTGTTGTCTATCAACGTCGCCAAAATGTCAAAGGTCAAAGCCTCGCTTTGGTAGTGAGAAAATTAAAATCAAAATAAACACTAATCAGCTGCAATTCTCGTTGTTATGGTGCGTTCGTGGTTATTCCAAAGGTAAACCAGTGTGGTAATTTAGAGGTACCGGTAGTCAGGTAGTGTATGAATATAACAGAGTAAAGCTTGACGAATGTACAAAATAAACGCTGATATATCATTTTTCCAATTTTTTCAACTTTCAAGATCGAAGATGAAGATTTCATTTGAAATTATCAGTTCAAATTTCCCGCCGGTTAACCGACTTTAACTGGTAAAAACATCCGGTTAACCGGTTAATGCTCAAGCAGTTAATTGACACCACTAGTATCTAAGGGATGTTTCAGAAAGATATAAGAAAAATTGTTCTGGGACCTTTGCAATACTACTCTTTTTCTCTATTTTTCTGTCACATTTTCAAAGGACTAAAATTCTCATTCTAAACTGTTTAATGTTTATATTTGCATAACCACAGCACTGGCGGATTAGGGGGGGGGGGCCTGGGGGCCCGGGCCCCCCCCCTTGGGTGGGCCCAGAAAAAAAAAATTGGGCCCAAAAATTTTTTTGGGCCAAACAAGGCCTTCAGGCCCTAAAAAGTAGGCCTTTTTGGTCATTACAGGGCCTTTTAAGGCCTTATTTTTTAATTTCAGGCCAAATTTTGAAGAAAATGGGCCTCAAAATTTCAAAATTTGGGCCCACTTTTGGATTTTAGGGGCCCAAAAATTTTTTTCGCGCAAGCGCGGACGTTTTTTTTCTCTGACCTGAAATTTGGGCCCCCCCCCTTGTTGGTTCCTGGATCCGCCCCTGCACAGTGAGCCTGGTTACAAAAATGATAGGAGGAACTAAACAAGGCACAGGATGTGAACGAGATCACACCATCAAATAGGCAGACACTATGAACCAGGAAAACTGTTCTCCTATTATGTTTACAAATTTCAAGAAGAAGAAAACAATTTGGCTGCCCAAAAGTTAATCAGCTCTAGTACTTGATATCCTCTATCATTTGTGTAAATTTGAAGGAGATCCGATGAGCAGTTTTCCTGAAATGGCGATGACAAGATTTTTTGAAAAACCTTCAAAATGGCCACCAGAAAACAAGATGGCCGCCCAAAAGTTAATCAGCTCTAGTAATTGATATCCTCTATCATGTGTGTAAATTTGAAGGAAATCCGATGAGCGGATTTTCTGAAATGGCGATGACAAGATTTTTCGAAAAATCTTCAAAATGGCTGCCAGAAAATAAGATGGCCGTCCCAAAATTTAATCAGCTCTAGTACTTGATATCCTCTATCATTTGTGTAAATTTGAAGGAAATCCGATGAGCGGTTTTCCTGAAATGGCGATGACAAGATTTTTTGAATAACCTTCAAAATGGCCACCAGAAAACAAGATGGCCGCCCAAAAGTTAATCAGCTCTAGTAATTGATATCCTCTATCATGTGTGTAAATTTGAAGGAAATCCGATGAGCGGATATTCTGAAATGGCGATGACAAGATTTTTTGAAAAATCTTCAAAATGGCTGCCAGAAAACAAGATGGCCGCCCAAAAGTTAATCAGCTCTAGTACTTGATATCCTCTATCATTTGTGTAAATTTGAAGGAAATCCGATGAGCGGTTTTCCTGAAATGGCGATGACAAGATTTTTTGAAAAACCTTCAAAATGGCCACCAGAAAACAAGATGGCCGCCCAAAAGTTAATCAGCTCTAGTACTTGATATCCTCTATCATTTGTGTAAATTTGAAGGAAATCCAATGAGCGGTTTTCCTGAAATGGCGATGACAAGATTTTTCGAAAAACCTTCAAAATGGCTGCCAGAAAACAAGATGGCCACCCAAAAGTTAATCAGCTCTAGTACTTCATATGCTCTATCATCTCTGCGAATTTGGAGAAAATCTGATGAGCAGTTTTCCTTAAACGGCGATGACAAAAAGCGGGACGATCACGACCACGATCACGACCAGGATGACGACTATATCCCACCGATGGTGTGATAAAAATTGAAAGAAAATCAAACCAAAATTGCCAAGTGCTTTCTGGTTTCGGCCATCTTGGGACTATAGCTTCACCTTAGGGCCATTCTTTATGATAGTGTATCTGTAAAACTCCTAAAAAATTCCTTTTTAGGTTATTTTTCATTTTTCATATTACCCTTATGTATCAGATGTTATACAAATTAAAATATGTCCAGTAAATACAGAATATCACATCATTTTGAGTGATATCATTTTTATCGCCGAGTTGATATCAAATATCAACACGAGTGAGCGAAGCGAATGAGTGTTGATATTTGATATCTACGAGGCGATAAAATGATATCACGAGAAATTATGTGATATTGGGTTTATCCCATGATTACAATCATCTTGTGATGTTCTGATCCAATTTCCAGGACATTGGCAGACAATATAAACTAGAAATTAGAGAATATCAATTGAATATTTGAAGCACTTTATTTTAACAATTAAAAGTAAATAACATGATATAGTTCGTCATGAATACCATTTTTAATCGTTAGTTAGCAGCCTTCTAATCAAATTATATACACAATCGTAATTCAATACACCAATGAAACTTAAAGAGAATAAATTAACAGACTTATGATATGCGTGAGATAAACGATATCACACGCATATGAGTTTGATAAACGATTTTCTGGAAAATATCACACGGATTTCAATAATATCAGAAATATCATAAGCTGTTATTGTACAGATAACACATTAATCGTGGGATAAAAGAAAATATTATCTGCCCAACAAAAGAAAAGATATTTCACTCACTCAAGATTATTTCTACTCGCAACTAGCATATTGAATTTAATATCCATTTCAAGGCATCATTTATATTATTTACACAATTAAAGCATTTTTCTGAATCCAATAATAAACAAGAACACAAATGTGTACAAAATGTCCCCACCAAGTGGTGATCCCGTGAAATGGTTATCCTGAAAATGAGTAGACAAGACTTTACCAACACAATTTGAGGATGGAAAATCCAAAGTGGCCACCTTAAAATTTACCCAGAATGCCAAAAATTTAGTCAGTTCTAGATTTTCATACTAAGAACCACCCCTGAAAATTTGAAATTGATCCGTCACACAGTTAACCAGAAAACATGTAAACAAGACTTTACAGACAAGATTTCAGGATGGAAAATCCAAAATGGCTGCCTTGACATTTACCCAGAATGTCAAAAAACTAATCTGTTTGTAGATTTTCATACTAAGAATCATCCCTGAAAATATGAAATTGATCTACCAAACGGTTCACCTGAAAACGGGTAGACAAGACTTTACAGACAAGATTTTAGGACAGAAAATCCAAAATGGCTGCCTTAACATTTACGCAGAATGCAAAAAAAGTAATCAGATGTAGATTTTCATACAAAGAATCATCCCTGAAAATTTGAAATTGATCTATCAAACTGTTCTCCTAAAAACGCGTAGACAAGACTTTACAGGCAAGATTTTAAGACGGAAAATCCAAAATGGCTGCCTTGACATTTACCCAGAATGCAAAAAAACTAATCAGTTCTAGATTTTCATACTAAGAATCATTCCTGAAAATTTGAAATTGATCTACGAAACGGTTCACCTGAAAACGAGTAGACAAGACTTTACAGACAAGATTTTAGGACGGAAAATCCAAAATGGCTGCCTTGACATTTACCCAGAATGCCAAAAAACTAATGAGATCTAGATTTTTATACTAAGAATCATCCCTGAAAATTTGAAATTGATCCACCAAACGGTTCACCTGAAAACGCGCAGACAAGACTTCACAGACAAGATTTTAGGACCGAAAAATCCAAAATGGCCGACAATAAAAAAGTCCTTATGAGTTTTTGCTGATTTCTTTTTACAAAATTATCACATATAACTACTGTTAACAATAAAGTAGGCTTTTACAGCAAAGTACATCTGAAATTATTTATAAAGCTACTAAATAGTTAAAGTATGAAAACTCAAAAACACCATTCAATATGATACAAAGTATTATCGCGCGCTAACTTTTCTTAAGACATTCAAAATGGCTGACATGACTGAGCTAGCAGGTCCAAAACCTAATCAGATCTAGAATGAAGTGAGCTGAACAAGATGTTAAAGTTTTAAAAGCAACTGTGAAGCAGTTTTTCTTAAAGTTTGCAGACAAGGATTTTAGCATTTGACTTCAAAATGGCCGACAGGAAGTAGGTATCGAGTTAATTTTTTTTCATCCACATCTGTATGCACTCATAAGTTATCCCTGAAAATTTGAAGGTGACATCTGTAGCGGTTTTGGAGAAAACTGCCGGACGTACGGACAGACAGACGGACAGACGGACGCACCTAGGCCGACAATATGGCCCCACACTATGTGGTGGGGACATAAAAAGCAAAAGTTTTCTAGGATTTAAAATATTCTCTTGAAAACGATTCTTGATAATTTGTAGAATGCTTCAAGTGATTATTTACAAATATGCTTGAGTTATTGATAATAAGCATATATTAGATCAATGCTATGTTTCAAGATATTCTTTCAACGATTAATTGATATCAGTGTCCATCAATTCATACACTTGTGTTTATCCTTTAATTCATTGTAACCATTTTGTAAAAAGTCAATATGTATAGTAAATATATATAGTATATATGCAAGTTCTTGCATTCATTGTTCACAAATTGATAGTTGATGGTGTATTTTAAGTTGATTTATTTTTAGTTCATTTGTTCTTCATATGTGTAGGATCATATGCTATGTAAATATATTTTGTGTTATATTATTTGAATTTTGTAATAAACAGAATGGCAGTCCATGTATCATAGTCCATATATCAATGCATTGGTCATGTCCATGTTTCACTGTGTAGCGCCTCTTCCATATATCAATGTATTGATCATGTCCATGTTTCACTATGTAGCACCTCTTCCATATATCAATGCATTGATCATGTCCATGTTTCACTGTGTAGCGCCTCTTCCATATATCAATGCATTGATCATGTCCATGTTTCACTGTGTAGCGCCTCTTCCATATATCAATGCATTGATCATGTCCATGTTTCACTGTGTAGCGCCTCTTCCATATATCAATGCATTGATCATGTCCATGTTTCACTGTGTAGCGCCTCTTCCATATATCAATGCATTGATCATGTCCATGTTTCACTGTGTAGCGCCTCTTCCATATATCAATGCATTGGTCATGTCCATGTTTCACTGTGTAGTTCCTCTACTCAATGTACTTGATGATTGCCAGATCTCCTTTGTATGACCCCACAATGAGATCACCTTGTTGATCAATGGCAACACATTGGGGGTTCTTACCACCATCTTCAGCCACCAACAAGTACTTGATGAATTTCCCATTAGGGTCTACCATGTGAACTCTGTGGTTGTTATGATCAGCAATGATGATATTGTCCTGAGAGTCAATGCAGACTCCCTCTGGATGATTCAACTGACCTATTCCTGCAACCCTGAAGCCATATGCACCTGGTACCTCTTCACCTTGCATGGTGAACCTCTTCACACAATAGTCACTAACATCAGACACAAACATGATACCTTTGTGATTTATTGTTATATAGCGAGGGTCTGCGAGCTTGCCTTTGCCAATAGTAGCCAATACACTCCCATCATTACATTCAACAAGGTAGACACACTTGGCACCCCAATCAACAACCAGTAGTTTACCATCTGCTGTCTCACATAATCCACAGGGATCTTGAAACTCCCCAATATTCCTCTGATGCTCCAGCTTTTTATCAAATACTGCTATGCATTTGTTGTTATTATCAGCAGCTGCATAATATTGAGACTGAATACAACACACATCCCAGAAGTTACCCTGGGCTTTATGTTGTAGGGTAAAGGAATCAGCAGTATAAGTTGCAAGACCTCCCCAACCATGAGATACAACAATGTTGTTGTTGTATCCTCTTGTGAGGCCACATATGTATTTTACTCCTGGGCTCTTATCAGGTAGATGTATCTTTCTGGATATCTGTACTACCCCCATATTAGATGTATCAAGGATGCCAGGTTGATATTTGTAGAGGTCAAGAGGTACAACATTCTCTTCAGGCATAGTGGACCATTCTTCCAGTTTCTTTAGTACAGTAGCACTATAGTTGAGGACATCTACAGGATGATTATATTTTCTGAGATTATTAAGTTGAAGCAATGTACTCTCAGTTATCCCTTTGTTAAGTTGGAACTGGTCCTGGTTTGCTTGGATCTTCTTCTTTTTCTCATTGGCAGCAGCTTTGGCTTTATTTCTGAGCTTATCAAAATGTTCATCCAATTGTTTCCTTTTAGCAGCATGGTCTGCATCTATGTCTCGAAGTAGAGCTTGTGTGTTTTTCTCACATGATTGAATGGAATCATTGGCTTCTTTGATGAATTTATCGAATATTTCTTTCCTCTGGTTGGCTAAACCAAGCAATGCTGCTATGTTGCGTTCCTCTCCTTTTGCTGCTTCTTCGATGGCTTGACAGCTGTGACCAGGATGTTCCGTGATAGAACAATCCCTACAAATGACAGCTTTATCTTGCTTACAGAAGAATCTGAGAGGCTGATCAGGATGCTTTGGACATTCTATGTTGCGCTTTATATAATTGTCCAGCGCAGCTCTGGCATCTTTCTCAGCATCTCCTGTTAACCCATAGATTGTGTGGGATTGGGTTGCTCTCGATCTTCGATGGGCTTTATTGCAGTGTTTGCACATGTGTTCAGCACACTCAACACAACGGGACATGGCAGGTACAGCTTCACCTTCTTGAATACAAATATCACAGTTGACATTCCGATTTTGTCCTTTGGTCAGCTGGTTTTCTAGGATCTCTACCATAGACTTGATAGTTATGTTTGTGCCATATGCATCAGCGCCATTCTTTGGAATCTCGAGTTGCTCATTGCACACAGGGCATGGATATCGATCATTCCCTTTTGCTTTATGTTCTTTCATCCATTTCCCAATACATCCCTTACAAAAGGAATGCCCACAGGTAATTGATTTAGGATCAGTCAATGTCCCGAAGCAAATAATACAGATCAAGAGTTCTTTGTAGTCATCGACTAAAACTGTTTGGGGATTTGCAGATGCCATATTTCTTTTCATCATGTCAGGGGCTGTGTTATCTACAAATACATTAAAATGACATTCAAGACTTAATCAGTCTCAAGTAGATTTACCATATAAAGTCGATCATCCTTTTTGAAAAACACATATGTGTGACATTATGATAAGACACTTCAAACTTGTCTTAAAGTAGGGGGCAGTCTCTAAACTGTTAAAAACAAGATAACATCTTTACGAAAAATGGCAGCCATTTTGAATTTCCTATCGACAAGATTTCCTTTGTCCCTAGGCATCAGCATATAAAATCTAAACAAAATCCATCCACTGGTATTTGAGTTATCAAAGATTATGTTCTTTAATGAAAAATGGCAGCCATTTTTAAACTTCCTAAGTTGAACATTTAGCTGAATTTAAGGGTGTTCAACTTACACATGTTTTACTGTACCTGCAAAATATGTTATGAATAAGACCTTACTTTTCTTTGATTACCCAAGATGTCTTATAAGAAAAGCTGGGAAATTTTCATAAATAAGCATTTAAAAATAAAACAGTTTTTAACTCAATTACCTTGAATTTGTGTGTAGCAGGTGATCTATCATAACCCAATGGTTTGGTAGCATTTGCTCTGTCTTTTTGTGATTCACCTCAGTTATCAGTTTGAGTCACTTCAGGGAATTGTAAAAGTTTGAATAATCCTAAGATATTTGTTGTTGTCTTTGAAGTGTCTGTCTAGATCATTACAAGTCTGAGTAAAACTCACGTGTTAGGTGTTAAATCATTTTTTATTTCTTTACACTTTATACCTGATAATACATGCAAATTCTTAATCACTTTTCTTCATACTTGAAGGTTTATTATCATTTGTACCTATTTGGGTTGATATATGACTGTCCTAAGTTCAATTAGACGTTCATGGGTGTCAAGTATGATGTGGCGTGTTGTTGACTTCTTAGTACATCCACACTTTCACCTGTATTTTTGTCAATTATGGTTTCATTCCAAAAATAAGGATTATTCATATGTGGTCCATGTATATGTCTGATCAAAATGTGATCTTCATGATACAATTATTTCAATAAAGGTATTTTAGAGAAATTCTTGTATCCTGGAACATCATTTTGCTTTCGGAATTTTTTATTGCTAACACTACTCATCTCCTAAAGAATTAGTTTGGATTTTTGAACATTTCCTCCATGATAACAATTTCAGCAATTGTACATGTAGTATTCTTCTTTGCAAAAAAGATAAAAGAGGTCGACAAAAAGAGACATATCATTCGAGACATTCAGCAGTACAAAAGTCAACGACTGACTCAAGTTAGATTAACCTTTAAAAACTAAATCATATTTGTATATACGAGGGGGGGGGTCAATAAGTAATGGATGCTTTTTTACACAGATACTATTTACAGACCAATCCCTTTGATTTTCCTACCAGTGATACATCATTCAATATTCTATCAATTCTGAAGATTTGAAGGCAAAATATATAATACCTGTTGATATATTCTTATTTCTGTGAAGGAGTTACAGGTACCCCGGGACCGACATTTACGTCACATATTCAGTTTTTAGCCAGTTTGGCAAATTTCAGTTAGATTTGAACTTTTTATATGCAACACGTGTTGTGTTGTTTGAAATTTTTCGCTGACTGGTAACACATAGAGAAAGTATTGTAATGTCAGAGTGTTGTATGGAAGGGGTTTGCAGGTCACTTTGAGAAAGCATTGTGGAAGAAAGGGTGGTGAGAGAAGGGAACACCCTACTCCATATGGACAATGCACCTGCCCATAGATCTCAAAATGTCCAGAAAACAATATCCCTGGACCTCAAAAAAGAGCCATTGGCCAATGCACTATATTACCTAGATCTGCTCACATGTGACTTATTTATTCTATACTACTTATTTCTATAAAGAAAGGACGCAGGTTTATTGCCATTGATGAAATAAAACAACCCTTGCAACTGCATCTTGCTACCATGTCAGAGAATGGATTCAGCCTTGTCTCACAATCTTGAGTTAAGAAGATGAGGAATTGGGTACATGTAGCACTTGATGGAACCTATGTAGAGGGGCCTGTGGAATGAATGTGGCATGAATACCACATAGTGATGATAAAATGAGAATTTGCTGGTGAGAATTTGCGCAAACGAAGGTGGTACGCAAGAGACGTATTGTGTCAGTCATCGCTAAAGCTCTGGGGCTTTCCCCCCTCTTAAACGTGACCTCTTTCTAGATATTGTATATATCCTTACAGAGCTCACCCCTGAAAAATCAACTTATGAATTTGAAACTGATTTTGTGAAAATGCAAACATAGAAATATCAAATTACAAAAATCAATAAGTCAAGTGAGATACAGCATTTTGATTAGCAATATAATGTAAGCCATGTGTATTTTTTCAACGACTGATCCAGACATAACTTCCTCGTTGAACTCTGACGTCATTCTAGATTTATGATTTCAAACTCATTTGTTTTTCCTTAACATAAAAATATATATGCACAATGTATAAATAGTGGCATTTTAGGGACCTCACTTGAGAGAAAAACACATTATGATTTTTAAAATTTTGATATTCCTACAGAAGTATAAGAGATTTTTATTTTAAAAAAATCAAGTACCATTACAAAAATTCTCCAGGGAACATCCTTATTCCAGATAAATATAAACAACAATGGCTCCATATATCCTAAGAACAGCATGGTACAAGGAAATGTATCATATTGCTTCTTTGTGGAATCATCTGCATCTGAATCATACATCAATGTTAAATGATATGAATGACCTAACTTAGAAACAAAAATAAACAAAATTAAAGTCTCTTTATCACCACATCATATTTCTAAGACAAATAATTAAAACGACAGTGTTTTTTGATTTTTTAGAAAATATGAATGTAAGTGGAATTAAGAAATTATAACTCCTTGGAATAAACTTAATTTTTAATTAACTAATTAATCAAATTAATTAATTAATTATAACTCCAAGGAATACCAAAATAATCTTAATGTACAAATTCATGAATATGTCATAATTAATTAATTTAATATGTATGATCTGGTAAAACACTCTATTCACACACAAAAAAAATTCATTGGTGAAATCTCAAAATTAGTACCAATTAAAGGTTGGATGGCTGTTTAATCTACTGTAAAATGTATTTGATACCTGTGTACTACGCTTGGCAAAACATTTATGTGAAACAATTTACCACTAATACACATCTTTCCACCAAATATGAAAAAAGCCATCCAGCAGTTATTTTCAAATGAACAGACGAATGGACAGACAGACATAGGAATGGAGGTCTTCACTCTATCCCTATTGGACATTGGGATAATAAAGACCCAAAAAACAATACCCAAATATATACAAAAGTGATGACTCAATTTCTGGAAAATCTAATTATCTAATCAAGATCCTTTTTCTTTCCTCTTCTTGAAAAATTAATAAAATACAAACAAAGACATATGCAAGATTAAAATAGCAAGTACTGCTGGCAAAGTATGAAGTCAACACATTCAACCTCAATGCACAAGGGTTTGGATAAGGAACAACAGAAGTTCAGTTGCATAACAGGCCCGTAGCCAGGAAGGGAAGTTAGCAGAGTTCGGGCCAAAAATTCTTTCAAAATCATGCAGTTTTTCACCATTTTGAGCACTTCTCAAGTAATTTTAGCCATATTTGGGCCAAAATTGTCAAATGTGAACCCCCCCCCTGAAAATGTTTGAAAACTGAACCCCCCTTAGCAAATCCTGGCTACGGGCCTGCATATTTTTATATTACTATTTGAGAATGTTTAAGCCAGTTTAATGTTCATATTATTAGAAAAATATAATTCCATGAAATTAATTCATTTTTTCATTCATCAGGTTTCTATTACATCGATCATACTTCCAAATAAGGGAGCATGTCAATGTAGCACAAAAAGCTATATATTATCAGTTAAGTCCCAGACACCCCCCCCCTCCCCCTGTTAACTATATATGAAAAATGTTGACACACACAATTTTTAACAAAAAAATATTATCATCACGCACCTCGTTGACGAGTCTTTCATATTCATTAGATGGGGTTTTATATATTGGCTGTGCCGTGATAGTGAAAAAGAAGTTCAAAATTTGAAAAACTCTGTAATATTTTCAATATGGGATTAAAAATGGCTGGTGCAATACCCCGGGGATCAATGTCGGGGAAGTTTATTTTTTGTATTCAAACACCCTCCTAACTGATAATATATAGCTTATTTGGCAACATTGATCTTTTGACGTGCTCCCTTACCTTTTTCAGTTTTAGATTCATGGAAAACGAATTGAGCTTTAGTTGTACATATTGTATAGTGGTCAACTGGCTCAAGAGCATGGTTATAATTTTCCTCAGGCCGATTGAGATGAAGTCACCATTTATAATAAGCATGTTATTTTGCTCTCTAGCTGTACAAATAAATACGCTGGGTCCATTTCTTTGAAGATTTCTTTGTAATTAGATTAACCATTCACGGGCAAGTAACCTCAAATATGAGACATTGCAGTAGAAAGTGACAATGACAAAAATAAAGCGTCTTATTAATGGTTACAGAGTTATGGCTTATAAGCTTCCTCCTGATCGAGTTTTGGCACTTCATATGTTTCTTCGAAGAAAAGTCAAAACCATTTGAGCTTCAAGAGACAGACAACATAATATAGGACAAAAAAATTTCTCCCAAGAACATACAATTATACATAAATATATAATATATTATGATTGTAAGGATAAAGATGAAATATCACATGAAGATAAATTTAAAACTGACCAAGCAATAGTGAGATCCAGACAGACTATGAACAAAAGAGAGAGGAAGATCAAATATCACAAGAGGACATATCTAAACTGACCAGGCAATAGCGACATTAACAGACTACTACAAATAGCAATGGCAAAAAACATACTGAGGGTTAGTATATCAGAGCTTTTGTAATTCAAGAATTATTTTTTTACTACACAATAATCTAGTGTAACATTTTATGATTTTCATAACCTCACTAGGGGAACATCAAATAATTTGAGTCAAATTGTATTGTATTGTATTGTATGACAATGCCTAGCATGACCATAGTAATGTTCAAATATACTACACTGTCTGCTATCACTGTGACATTTTATATTGTATGTAATGACAATGCCTAGTATAACTGTGACAGTGTATAAATACAAGCATGACAGTGGGAATATCAAAACATATAGGAATACCTGCCATGATCGTAACAACGTAATATTATGACAATTCCTGTATAAACTTCACAATGTTAAAATATATTGTAATGTTAAAATAAAATATATGATTACGACTACTATGACGATTCACCTTGATAATGTATGGCAATGACTGGTATGGCATTTGGTATTGACATAATGCATGACAATGTAAAGCGTAGCACAACCATATGAGTTTAACGCTGATTATATATACAGTGCTGATATATAATAATTAAGGGTGCGTTTTCAAACTAAACAGAGTGCTCCTACCAAAATAAATTTGCCTACATACCCCTGAGACTCTTATCTGATAGATAGAATGCACAAATAAAACAAAAGTTTTGCGATTATAGGTAAAAAGTTCTCTTGAAATTACGAAGTGATTTTACCTGTTAATTCTGTTCATGGTCCGCCATTTTTGCGGAAGTTACACTGAAACGCAAACTCCATGAAACGAAACGAAATCACTAGAAAAAACATGGCATACATTGTGCGCATGTGCAGCAAAGTTTTAACCAATCAGATTATTTGATTATTTTGCGCACATGAATTATTTGCTTCTGACATGTCTGAGCACTTACAAGCTTACAACAATAAACAAACCTGGCAGAGACTACCCTGAGCCTACTTCATTTTGGCGAAATTTCAGCTCAAACTCGTGACAAATGAACTATGCATACGCTGGTGTGAAGCCTTGGAGACACTCATTTTGGTAAATATGATTTATGGTGTATACTTTTCTGCAGTTTGTGTGAGTTTGGGACATTAAATGTTAAAATTCAAGAAAATATGGCAATAAAACGACTAATCAATTAATATATACCAGCACTGTATATATATTTCTTTTTAAACAATTTTATCCTACCCTGATAATATTAAAATCTATTACTATGTCTGGTATAAACGTGACAATATAAAATATTTCATCATGTTTAACAACCTCAACTACATGTATGTGTGACTTCTATATTTGTACATTTCTATGTTAAATTTCACATTAATTTCTTTAACCCTCATATTTTATTAATAATTTCCTAAAATTCTGTTTTTAGTCAAGAAGGTTTGATTCGATAACACACTTCTGTCAGAAACAAGATGACTGCTAAAAAGTAAATCACCTCTAGAACTTCTTACCATGTAAATTTGAAATAAATCCGTTTAGTGGTTTTCCCGGAATCATGATGATAAGATTTATCTGAGAACTTCCGAATGGCCGAGTGCAAGATGGCAGATGAAAAGTTAATCAGCTCTAGAACTTCTTATGTATCTGTTAAGTGGAATTCCTGGAATCGCATCCTCCTAAGCAGGTGTCCAGAATCCGTACCTCCTTCCTCCCCCTGCTATAACCAATTTTGAAGCGCCTGATTTAACTGAATCACGTGATCTAATTATGCGCAATGATTTATACATGATTTCTGTCGCAGTGTTGTGACAGCCAATCAAATTGAGAGTTCTTAATCGGGAAAATGGTAACTGCTTATCGCAGGGGGTAAAAAGAAAGAATATATTCTGGATTTTGAAGCCAGTTTTGCCTATCGGGACATTTCTCGCTACATTGGAGTAAAATTCATCTTCTGGAATGCAAACCCTCTCAAAGACTGGAGTTTTCACTACGCCTGGACATAGAGCATTGACACGGACTCCTTGGCCTCCAAACTCCAATGCTGCACATTGTGTGAACATGTTCATCCCAGCTTTAGCTATACTGTAGAAAGGCATCAGGTCTGATACTTTGCATCCAAACACACTTGAAATATTTACGATATTTCCATTGTTTTGTTTCAATTCTGGCAAGCATATTTGAGACAGATGGATTGGTGCCCGCAATAAGACTTTAACTAAATTATCAAACAACTGCAGTGATCCAGATTTTAGCTCACGAAATATACTAATAGTATATCCTGCATTATTCACCAAGATATCAATCTTGCCAAATGTTTTAATGGCAGTTTCATGGATGCTTTTCAGCACATCATCCTCTTCAATGTCCCCGTGGACATAAGGAAACTTTGCATCATCGACAGCAACCTTTTCACATTCAGCAACAGTTTCTTTGATAGTACTTAAATCTCGGCCATGTATCAAAACACTTGCTCCCTCCTTGGCCAATAAGATTGCAGTTGCTTTGCCAATGCCACTACCCGAACCAGTAACAATAGCGCACTTTCCAGAAAATCTCATTTTGTTTATTCTTGATTGCAGGGTTTTCAATTATTTCTTTATTCACTTATAGAGTTTTTATCAATAAAGTGATAAAAATACAACACACAACTGCATTTATATGTCCTTTAACGTCGTGTCAAACAAGTAAGATGATGATAGTTCAACTAGTTCATTAATACCTTTTGTTTCAATTATGTAAGACCATGTAAACAACTTTTTTTCAATAGATATCTAAATGTCAATATGTTTTTAACATTATGTAATGATATACTTCTCTCGAAACGAGAGCTTTCAAATTCAAGTAGTCAGTTTAACAGGAACACAAAATATATTGCAGAGTATTCATTTTGACATTATAATTGTATAAACAAGCCTGCAAAACATCAAAACCTCACAATCACATCATAATTAAAAAGTTATAGTTGCTTTGAATCATCAATTCTTAAAGGCCCCAGCCAGAGTTAGAAAATATTGTTTAATCATCTAAATATAATTTATCATGACTTAAAAAGGTGTATTTGAAATTTTCTGAAAAAGTTGACTTCTGAAAAAAAGTTATTGGTATTCTCATTTTTAAATACTTGAATTTACCGCCATTTTAGCAGCAAAAGTTTAAAGATATTGACCATCAAATACAACACTTTAAACGATGAAACACATTATTTTCTACACTCCATTGGATGGATCAAGTAAAAATTACATGATTTCAACAAATATATAATTTTAAATGTGCGCATTAAATTCTATAGCAATTTTTAAAATGTGTTATCCCGCTTTGGCTCTACTGTAGAAGGCACTGTTTTATTTGGGGTTTTAAGATTATTTAATCATAGAAATTCGAAAAAAAGGTTGGAAATTTTTTAAAAAAACTCAAAAAGTCCATCGATGTATTTTGTCCAAAAATACTATACGAAAGCCTTAATTGAGTTTCTTGAATTTGTCAAACCAGACATATATATGATACATTATATGTTTAAATGCAATTGTAGTGCAATAAATGTTTGACCCCCACCCAATACCTTAATTTCAACAGCTTAAAGTTTCTTAATTAAGCTACATTAGCTTTTTAAAGGAACTTTCCTGGCCAGACCATTTCTCTCCCAATATGGTAGCTATAACGATATATATACTTTCCATATTGAGTAAAACAGGGAAAAATGTTTTAATATAGTCAATATTGATCACTTAAAAATGTAGTGCTCAATTCCAGTAGGCTGCCATCTTTTAGAATTTCACTCAGGAAGTGATGTCATCGACTCTCAACTTTGCATATAACATTATAAGGAGCTATTAAGAATTACAAAAACCAGCTGTGCATTCTTTTTCAATTTTGTCTATGATTTAATCCTTCTATAAGTCTCTTCTATTATTCTAAGCTGACAAACTCTGAAAATATTTTTGCACATAAAGTAAGAACCACTTGTCTAGAAGTGATTTTGTGCTACTTCCGTATAAAGTTATATGCAAGGTCATGGAAGTTGAGAGTCGATGACATCACTTCCTGAGTAAAATTTTAAAAGATGGCAGCTTACTAGAAATGAGCACTACATTTTTAAATTATCAATATTGACTATATTAAACATTTCCTGGTGTTTTGCTAAATATGGAAAGTATATATATGATTATAGCTATCACATCAGGATAGAAAAGGTTTGGCCAGGAATGTTCCTTTAACAGCTTACATTATGAAATAAACCCAACGAATGGCTAACTTAGTAGAAATTTCTTCATTTCAGAATGTAGTGATGATGACACTGATGGTGTTCACCCCAAACATAAGCATAATTACATTGACTGATGACACACAATTTACTGTATGGGATGGGATACTGAGACTACCAATAAAGGACCCAAGCATGAAACGGCTTTATCTGAACAACGAAAGAATTTCAACAATAGGAGCTGGTGAATTTTCTGGTTTACTATCTTTAGAAACGTTGTTCTTGAGTGACAATGAACTATCACAGTTACAAGTTGGTACATTCACTTGTTTGGTATCTTTGGAATGGTTGAATATGGACAACAATAGACTATCAGAAATAACATGTAATGATTTTTCTGATTTTCATGGATTATTGAAAGGGCTATACCTGAATAACAATAGGCTAACAATATTAAGAGGGAATTATTTCTGTAACCTAACATCTCTTAGAGAACTTACCCTTAAAAATAATGAAATATCATATATAGAAACCAATGCATTTTCCGATTTGCAGTCATTGGAAAAGCTATACTTAAGTAACAATAAACTCACAATATTAACTAGTGGTATATTCTCTGACTTGATATCCCTAAAATATCTTCTACTTCCTAGAAATCTACTTTCACAAATAGAGGTTGATGCTTTTTCTGGTTTGCAGTCATTAAATCAGTTAAATTTGGAGTACAATAAACTTACAATATTAGACAGAGGGTTGTTCTGCAAATTGGAAAGACTGACATTTTTAGAGTTGGCAGGAAATAATCTAGATCCTTCACAGCCTACTAACCTTGATGCAATACGGGCGCTTTGCTTGGTATTTATGATTCAACCAACCCAACCATCAACCCAAACAACCCACCCATCTACCAAGGCAACTCAATCATCAACTGAAACAACTCAACCATCAACCCAGAAAACTCAAGCATCAGCACAAACAATCCAGCCATCAACCAAGACAACTCAACCTTCAACTGAAACAACTTCACCATCAATCCAACTACTACCGACCCAAACAACCCAGTCATCAACTAAAATGACCCCATTATCCAGTCAAACAAAAAGCAAAATTTTCATTATAACTTCAGTATGTGGGACTTATTCACTCCTTGTAATTATCATGGGTGTGTCAGTTCTTTTATGTAACAAGAAAACCAAGAAGGTTAACCGACAATCAATAGGTGACAGAGACCATGAATATGCTTACCCAAATGTCAACAATAGTACTCGTCATACATCTGAGTACAATGAGTATGTCAACACCATTGTGTACAAAAACTCACATGACATGACTCATTATACTGGCAAAGGTCACCACTATGAAAATGAAAATTTAACCAGTATTACACATGACACAGTTCAGCATACTGATTTAGATGATCAGTATCTCGTCCCCACTGTTGACAAGAATGCACATGACATGCATCGAGATTCTGACCCAACCAATCTCTATGACGACATAATGCCAACAACTTTTACACATGACACAACTCAGGATGCTGATTACGTTGATCCAGATGTCATGATCAATGAAGTTGAATGTGAACAAAATAACTATCTTCAATTAATAAACTAGACAAACTCGACAACCAAGACCCACCTAATGCAAGACCCACATAATGCAAGACCCACCTAATGCAAGACCCACATAATGCAAGACCCACCTAATGCAAGACCCACATAATGCAAGACCCACCTAATGCAACTTGCCTGGGCTTGTTATTTTAACAATGTAGATGTTATCCATATCATGCAAATCTTAAAAATCACAAATGGAAAAATAAACAGGGAGATTAAACTACCCATTTTTTGAGAAAACAGGTACCTGTAAGCATTATACTAGAACACCCAGAGTTCACTGTTACACCCATAATTCTTTTTTCTGGGACCCTATTAATAGTTTTTCTCATATACCTTTATACTCAATCAAGTTTAAGTAAATAATATAAAGGGGACAACTAATCTTTAGATGACCATAACTCTACATGTTCATGAACAAGTTCATTAAATGAGTAACTTAACCTCCAATGTTATTGTAAGAAAGTGGGCCGACAAAACCATTCACCATTTAATCAATAAAGGATTTAATTAGGATGATCCAACACCTGCTGGCTACTGGATTAACCTACTTTTTTTATGGCCAACTCATTTGAATATGAAGGGAATAGTGGCAGGTACTATTCATATTTAAATTTGTTACCCTTAAAATAGTATGTTAATCCAGTAGCCGACAGGCGTTAGTTGCATTAACGAATACAAGCTAAGATACAAGACACAAGTGATTGAGTCATCTGCTTAAATTTTTTTCACACATTGCTCTTCATCCTAACTGAACATTGCATTTATGTAAATTATGAATATTATTGTATGTGTAAACCATATAAAATGTTTCTTCACAAGCCAATAATGTGCAAACCTGGGCTTGTTTCTCCATATTCATGTATTACTGTTTAAATTGTATGTTATATGATTCATATATGGATATAAAATAACCTTAAAAATTGCAAGATATTTTGTACAGTATAACTTAAAAGCATTTGATATATCAGGCATAGCTATGTGTGAATCACCTATGGTGAACACTGGAGAGTAAATAAGCAATGTGATTGGTTGAGATGATTTAGTCATGACTAAATGTAAATACGTATGTATGAATCTTCTGAACTGTTTTGAAAAAGAAACTTTCAGTAAACTTATATACGACAAAAAAACACACATAAAATATTGTACATGTATTGTGGTGTGGTGGTATTTATAACAACATTGTCTACCCTGTAAAAATTCTTTCATTATCTATAATAAAAAAAATCTGAAATTGTAGTTTTCTGATGCATTTTATTTTCAAACTGGGATTGTGGTTCTTGAATGATGACAAGAGGAATAGGGGAAGGGGGTATTTTCACACTATTATTCATCTCATATGTTGGGTCATGGATTTAGAAATGTTGTTGATGTTATGATTCTAATATGTTACATCCATGTCATATTTATTATCTCATATAGATGGCAGATGTGTTGATTTTCAAGATTGTCAGGAATAAACTCCCATCATACAAAGACCGTATATAGATAAACTTCCATTTTATTACTATATGTCTATCATATACATCACGTTTTAACATAATCACATTTATTGCTCACATTGCTTCAGAAATAAAATGGACGACTCTAGATTGTTTGAACATGCTTTGAATAACAAATTTAATAGGGTATAACTTTGCAAAACAGTATCTGAGCTAACCAAGCATTACTATGGTTTGTTATTCTATATTAAGATCACAAAAATATAAGGAATATGATAATGCCAAATAAAATATCCTATCAACATATATTCTTTTATATTTCTGAAGATATTATCTACTCCTCTTTCACCGATCCATTGGTTATTTTTTGATTAAGTGATATTGATGATCCAAATCAATTCAAAGTGAATGTTCAGGCATATATGCACATCGTTTAAGCCATTGAATGTACAGGGTGTCCAATAAGAATTGAACCCAAATAAAAATGAAAGTAACTCTTTTTCCAGATGCATAGATATTTGCAATCTTGAATGGAGACAGTCTTGTCTAATCATTGCCTGATCTCATTAAGTTAAATGGTCACAGACTTTAAAAACCTTACAATGGTGATCCAGTCTAATTAGTCTTTGCCAGTAAATCATACTTGGCTGCATTTTCCAATGTTGCCTTGTCGAGTCCAATCAGTGAATGTCCGCCATCTTGAACAACACATGCACCATTCATCATTGACGCATCATCAGATGCCAGGAATGCAATCAATTTGGCAGTTTCATCCATGGTTCCAATTTTACCAATTGGGACACATCTTGCTGTATTAGAGCAAAATTCTGCCGCTGCATCATGTGAAATACCTGCTTTCTGAAAAGCTGGAGTTTTCACATACCCTGGACATACAGCATTGACACGGACTCCTTGGCCTCCAAACTCCAATGCTTCGCACTGTGTGAACATGTTCATTCCAGCTTTAGCTATACAGTAAAAGGGTGACGTGTCTGATACTTTGCATCCAAACACACTTGAAATGTTTACAATATTTCCATTGTTTTGTTTCAATTCTGGCAAACACATTTGAGACAGATGGATTGGTGCCCACAATAAGACTTTAACCAGGTTATCAAACAACTGCAGTGATCCTGATGTTAGATCATGAAATACACCATATCCTGCATTATTTACCAAGATATCAATCTTGCCAAATGTTTTAGTGGCAGTTTCATGGATGATTTTCAGCACATCATCATCTTCAATGTCTCCTTGGATGTAAGGAAACTTTGCATCATCGACAGCAATCTTTTCGCATTCAGCAACAGTTTCTTTGATGGTTGCTAAATCTCGGCCATGTATCAAAACACCAATAAGATTGCAGTTGCTTTGCCAATGCCACTACTAGAACCAGTAACAATTACACACTTTCCAGAAAACCTCATATTGTTTGTTTTCACTTGCTCGGTTATCAATTACTTCTTAATTCCCTTTATAGTGTTTTTACCACTACAGTGATATAACGCAACTGCATTTATGTGTCCTTTATCATGTCAAACAGGTAAGCTGGGTCAACGGGGTTTCAATAATTAAAAATATCTTTGTTTCAAGTGTTGAGATAACATAAACCATGTCTGACTCAGAACTTTTTCATGAGAGATCAAAAGGCTATTTTGTTTTGCCAAAGTACTGATATCGTAACACAAGGGCTTTACTATTAACATTATAATTGTATAAATATGTAAAATATCAAAACCCCATAATCACATCGTAATTAAGATTTAAAGTTGCTTTGATTTATCAATTCTTAAGGAGCAGTAAAGAGTTTCTACTTATCTACAGGTTTCTTTGATGGAATGTCAATGTAACACAATGGAGGAACTTCCTGGATACAAGTTTTTTATTTTCTAGATTTAAACCTAGTACTACTCATAAGTCAAGTTGCAGATTATAATTTGATACAAAGCTAGAGAATAGGTATGTCTGTTGATGCTATGTAACTTCTGAAAGACAAAAGACTAAGTGACCTTTATGGTACCCACAAAAACTTTAGACATGTGAGAATATTAGCCCATTAATGCAAGTAATAATTGAGTTTTATAGCTTGTTGCAAAGGTTCACTTTTGGACCATCCTGTATAATCAGTCATCTTCGGCTTTCCATTTGGTCTAATGAAGTAAAAAACAACTGTCAATCAAGATGATGTTAAACAATGGTACACCTCATACAAATTTCTCTGAATTCTTCCATTTATTTTGGAAACTGAAGGATCTGGATGATGTTTAATGATTTTATTAATAATTTAGTCACTACAACATGATGATATAACTCAAGATGTCAGAAATATGATGGATTTTGTAAAAATCATTAATTTTTTCAAAAAATAGTTGTACTTTTTAGAAGATTTGAGAAGTTCTACATCATGTTCAGAGAAAATGTTGAGACATAGCAATACTAAAGACATCTCTGCGTAGCATGGGCTATGTTTCTATGAGAAAGAAAGTCTCCTATTCTGTCAAAACCTTAAAATAAGTGAGTAGTTACAAAAGCACGTTGTCCAGTTCCGTTTATACGACGTGTTGAGAATGTGTGAAACAGCATTGACACGGATACAAACGCCTCCAAACGCTGCACATTGT